ATGTTCTCGAGACTTTCCTTTGCTATTCTGGAAAAGGAATGAATTTTACAAAGAGTGCGAATATCGTTCGTTTACACTATAAAACCTGTTGCAGAGTTACAGACCAAGTTTTCCATCTTGAAAAGAGTCACATAAAAGACAAAAACTATCATACGGAAAGTAACTCTTTATACTGACCAAAACACTCAACTAAGTGTTTAACTGGTTTCTTGAAAAACATCTTTGAAATATGAACCCAAGACTGATTCTCAACGACCGACTACAAGACTAGACTGTCAACTGCTAATAAATACGCAAAAATGCTCTGTAACAATTATCAGTAAAAACTAAATCTAAATGAACTTGCGAGACAACTAATTGAGTAATGTAGTTAAACTCAACAACAGCTTAAACTCCTTTGTCTTTGCTCTTTTCTTGACAATACAGCTCACAGATTTCCATACAAGACCAGAAGTGAAATAACAACAAGTCTTGCATAAAGTATGTAAAATTCAAATAGATAGTCAATGTTGTACATATCAAAAAGATACTACAGTCTATCCGGAACTCAGAGCTCAAGACGACTCGATGGATTTTTATAAAGGAATGAACTGCAAGGCTTAAAAAAGAAACGTAGATAATAGAAGTCCACTTGTCCAACTAAAACAACAAATGAGTTGGAAATTAAAGTCGGAAAACTTTCAGAAGTAAACCTAACCAAGTTCAAAGCCTTAACAACACTGGCCCCTTTTAAACTATTGTGTAATTTCCAATTGGACTATGATGAGAAGAATTGCTATGTATTGTCTCATTTCTACTGGAGGTATAGTATCTTGCATGGCTAGTGAGTTTTATGAAAGAAAATATTTTACTTGGAGACTTGGAAAAAGCTGCTTTAATAATAAATGTGCTAGATACAACTAATCTCACAGCATAGTAATGTTGTGAAAGGAGAAAAATAGTGTTGTAACAAAGTTCCTGTTCAACTAACTATCGACACTGTGCCTTTTCAAAGAGTTGAGTTTGATCAATCTTGTCTCTGCAAGGTAAATTTCAAAATACTTGTGACGCTATTTTGATTACAAATCAAGAACGGTTTTGCTACAACCAGTTTTTGACTCGTTCTCGTTCTCAGAATCTTCCTTTGTTAGCCTCTCAAAACCTTGGAAAACTGCTTCACACAATGTGTAAAATGGTCGTTTTCCAGTTTCAGTAGAAATAATTCTGTTGGCTTTCTGTGTAAGAACCATAGCCTTTCCTTCTACGCAAAATAGGCTCAAGGAATAGTCTTTGTACCACTGTGAACTGCAAAGAAGAAATAATCTTATATCCAACACTAGAGTTGGAAAGTATAGAGAGGACAAGGCTACAACAAAAAACTGACAAAAGGTTGGGAATACTTTTGACTATACACAAATTCGTACATAAACTACTTGCGATAAGGAGGATCGAACCTCAAAAGTTACAAGGGTCTCGCATTGTTCTCTTCATAAACAACTTGTAGAGAGTTTTGACTGTTACAAGAGTAAAAGTGGTGACGCTTTTACTTCTCCTTGCACATATATTTCAAGATTCACCTTTCTTTATTACTTTGCAAAGAGGAGATGAAAGATTCTTACTTTTCCATTATTTCTACGTTTATATTCCTTTCTTTTCACTAGTAGACGAAATTGATCCAATATATTTAAAAGAACAAGACCTTTACCAGTTTGGATAACAACCAAAATATCATTTAAGATTTGACTCTGCAGAAGAATCAGATAAATTGTTTTATCTTATTCTGCTGAATATTGCTTGCGAGTTGAAAATATTTTTATTCTCTGTAGAGCAACTTGGATAAAACAGCGTTTCGCTTCTTTTTCAAGTTTGACTTGTCCCTAGTAAAATGAACATTCCTTCTATTCGATTCTCGTTACCAATATCCAAAAGGAAGCCTCTACTAGTGTACCCATCAGGTTATATTTCGCAAGAGTCTTCTTCCAAGTGCCTAACGGAATGAACTTTTGTAGAGTGACTCACTTATTCAACGAGCTGATGGTTGAGAGTGGAAGAAGATTAGGACTCAACTGGACAAATCGTTCCTTGAATATGCTGAGCTTTTAAAAGTTTTACCTTTTTTTATATTGAAAGAAATAATAGCCCTCTTGGAGTTATATCGTTTTAAAGCAGCTTTGTACTTTTTATAGTTTGCTTTCTTGTATATCTTTAAAAGTTGTGGTTTTTACAAAGTTTATCGTACAAGAGGATGCAACAAAAGCCTTTAAACCTAAACAGTCATGTTTACCTTCAAAAACACCTCAAATGTATAATCGACTATTGAGGAGAAAGAATTCAACTATGATTCAAACGTGAGAAACGAGAAAAAAATAGATAGAATAGACTCAATTCGACTGAATTGAATTTTTCTTGAAAATATCTTTTCTCCTCTTAACAGAATCCACAGTATCAAATGCCACTATTTTCAGAGGAGAAAGAAACAGGAGTTATTGACTCTTACAGAAATTGAGTATTGACGATACACTTGTGTGAGTCAATGTTGTTTCTGAGATTTGATAAAATCACGAGATATTTTGGATCCTTCTTTGTACATTTATTTTGCTTTTGTCTTTTGCTATCATCAACTTTTGTAGCTTTAGTGATAAGCTGCTACTTGTCATGATATCGTAAGAAAGGAATTTGATGATTGCTGAAAATAAAACAATGCTATGCTTGCGGGTTTCTGCATTTCTACTAAATAATAACATTTCAACTGGAGCTTTTGAATAGACTGCACAAGAGAATGACTTGGTTCATACTCTAGTTCCGTGTTTCGAAATGAAGCAAAAGAGACGAAAAAACTGTTCCATAAAATACAGAAAATCTAAAGAGACGTCTATGGAACAAATTCTTCATGAACAATCTATATCACTCGGAACTCTCATGACTACTCTCGAAAATTCTGAAAGAAACTTTCTTATCTATGTGAGAATGGGCCATGTTCAATAGCTTTATACTCTCAAAGAGCATAAAAAACTTGTGAAATAAACATTGGCTTCCTTCCAATACTTCTTGTACCCTATGAGAGTTACCATTATATCAGCATACGAGAATAAAAATATCGATAGCTGAAAAAGCCATATTGATCGTTCTTCCATAGTTCAAATCATCTCAGTCCAAACCATAAAGGATATGACAAAGTCATCAGTTGATAAAGAGAAGAAGTTGGATTGGTATCCTTTACTATTTTCCTTGTTGTTGTTGTGACCGACAAACAATCAATCGTTCATTTACTTATATTTGTACTCCGAAATAAACAGAAGATTGTTTCATTTCACTTTGGCGATGGCGAGTTTGGATGACAAGTGGAAAGCTGTGGACAACTTTGAGTCTGTTGTGGTAGTAGATCGTGAAAGAGATGTTGTTCGAGTGACAAAAGAACTGTATGATCTTCATAGCAACAGAGAACAACTCAGGGGTGTAACAAGTAGTTGCAACTATCGCTTGACCATACCATTTGCCCCCCATCATTTTGGCTCTGGCAAAACGACCTTTGCCCGAACTTATTTGGAGTTGGTGCAAAGGTTTGGTGAAACTTTTCTGTCGAAATTTGCTTCGGACCCTTTGAGAAGAACCTTTTTGGAGAAGCTGAAAAGGGCTTCGTTGCTTTATGTGGATTTGAGGAAGTTGAAGCCAACTCGACCCATCGAGGAAAAACGCAACCTAAAGTGGGCAGTCTACTATTTATTGTACCGATCAGCTTGTAATCAGATGGGTCTACCGTTTATGAAGCCTGATGAAGCCTACAGACACATTCCTCCCTATCCAAGCTTTCTAATTCCACAGCTACGGAAGACTTTGGGCATTCCTTCCGATCAATATCTTTTGGTGGCATTTGATGAAATTGGTGTCCTTGACGAAAGTCTCGACGAATTTCATTTCAAGAGAACCCATGACGGTAGAGTTCGACCATACAACGACTTTTTCGGTATCATTAGTCAATTGTGCAAAGAACCCGACTTGTTTTTTATAGTTGTTGGGAAAAGCAAGGGTTTAAGTATTAAGAATGATATCGCTTCTGGTATCAAAAGTCATACTACATTTTATCCCTTTATCACCTTTGGACGCTTCCAGTATCGTTGAATTCCTTGAAAAGACTCTTCTAAAAACACCTACTCAAGAACCGGTTTGTAATGTCTTATGTAGTTCTTCATTTTCAGTAAATGAATTGGCAGATTCGTTATTGGAATGTACAGGTGGAGTTCCTGGTTTGTTGACTCGTGCAGTAAATATGCTTTTGAATTATATAATAGCAAGAAATCAGCCTTTCATATCGAAAGAAGAATGTTTGACATGTATGAACGACGACAATTTCCGAAGAATTTGCACTGAACCATTTGTGGAACGAATATTGAATTTGGACGAAGATAGAAAAAGTGTTTTTGATATACTTTTAATGATGGCACTTTATCGTATACCGTTTCAAGTAGATGACATATTGACCTCGGAGTCCTTTTTATATGATGCAGTCACTGAAATGGGATTATATCGATATCCTATTGACGAGAATACTTTCCAAATCCTGATTCCAAAAGTATTTGTTGGAATCTTCAAGAAGGACCCTTCCATATCTTCTTTGGAAAAGATACTTCTTGGATCACTTGATGTCGAACCAGTAGATTGTTTCTTTTATTCAAAGTGTCGTGTATTTGAAGGAATAGGGCTTTACGACTAGTTTTGATGTTCCTTCAAAGAATCGAAATAC